CTACTAATTTCCTGAATTATAAGGAGAGTGCTTGCCGTATATATATAGCCTTAGGAGAGAGGGAAATTAATATTAATGAGAGTGGTACTTCTGAATAATTATCTACTATTAAGGTTTAAGGAGAAGAAGAGAATGGAGAGAATAGCTTATTTATTAATAAGAAAGCAGAATAGGAGGAAGTAGTAGAGGAGATGATTTTGTCTGAACTAACTAAGAGAGTTATAAAGCATATAAAGAAATAGTAAGAGAAGATAGTAAAGAGGGCTAGTACTAAAGCTCTTGAATATAATATTTAGGAGATCGCAACCCTATAGATCCTAAAGCAATATCGATTCAGTATAGAAATGGCTCGGATTCTAGTAAGAGTTCTGAAAAAGACTTTAAAGGTATATAACTTATGAGGATATACTTTTGGCTAAAGCTAATTAAAAACAGGGCTACCGGTTGACTACTAAGTATAGTAAGCTTATAACCCTCTGGCCGTATAATACTCTCAATAAAGTTACTTCACAATTAACTTATCCTGATTTGCCTATTACTAGTGCGGCCTATAAGAAAGACAAAATTACCCTCCCTAAAGCAGTAGCAAAGGAGAATAATCGGGGTTCAATTTCGTCAGTTCAGAAGGCTGGAAGGGTATCTGAGAGAGTAAAGAAGAGAGTAGCTATTGAGCAAGTACGTGAGGATGGAGCTAGAGAAGGGGAATCAGGTGAATAAGTGGGTGTGAGGGTACCAAAAAGGGCTAGGGTAGCTATGAAAGCACCTAGACGAAGTGGGAGGCATGTATAATAAAGCTTGGTTTGGGTGAAGTATACTAATATATACTGCTTTTGCCATTCCCGAAACCTCAATATTACCCGATTAATCAATCGGGACCCACTGTGGAGCCCGAATCGTAATCCCCCCCCCCCATTGATTAATCGGGCGCTACGATTGATTAATCGGGAGGGCGATTGATTAATCGCTTGTATTGACGAACGGGGGGTATCAGTACGAGCCTAATTCTCACACGTTACAGAGTATTTACTGCCCCAGTCTACTGAGTGGTTAAGTATGTATGCACTTCTGCCCGTAAGATTAGTTTAGGGTTTTCCCAGTCTTGGAGATGGCTTTAGGGGCATTAGAGACCCTCTATAGGGCTGAAAAGGACCTTTTAATTAATTGTATGCAATTGAGATTCGCGAAATCGCGATTTTTGGGGATTCCTTTAGGGCTTAAGGTATAAGTAGTTCGCTTCGCTTGGAGCGTTTTCCCGGTACTCCGGAACGTTGCTTGGCGAGGGGGGAATAGTTATTACATATGGCTGTCACGTGACTACAATCCAGCTATTTAACCGTAATTAGGCATATTCACCGTACGGTAAATACTGTAGTCTTTTGGTCCAGTAAACTGTAGTACGAGCCTAATTCTCATATATTATACTTATATTTTATAAATAATTTAATAAATAAATTAAACTTTATTAGATTTAATAAATTTAGAAATTATATATTAATATTATAATATTATAATTCTTATTTTAAAATAATAATTTTATTAATCTTATATAATAATACTATATATTATTAATAAACTAATAAAAATAAAAATTATATTTATATATTAATTATTATTAAAATAATTAAAATAAATAAATTATTATAATTAATTATTAATAAGTTTTTTTTAATATAAAACTATTAGTTAGTTTCTATTTATAATTAAAAAGAATTATAAGTTTTATATTTCTTTAAATTAGAATTCTTTTATTAAAACTAATAAAAAATAAATTAAAATAAGAATTTAATATAATATCTAGTTTTAATATTAAATAATAGCTTTTTAGTTTTATAAAAATAATATTAATATATTAAAACTTTTATAAAATCTATAATATTAATTAAATTATATAAAAAATTATATTTATTAAAAATTATATATTAAAAATTATATATTAAAAATTATATATTAAAAATTATATATTAAAAATTATATATTAAAAATTATATATTAAAAATTATATATTTTTTATATATATTTTTTATATATAATATTTATATTTGAAATATTAATTTATTTTAGAAAAAAGAAAAATATAAAATTAGATAAATTAATAGCTTTTATAAAACTTAAAAATAAATTTTTTTTTTTAAAAAAAAAATTATAATTTCTAAAGATTTAATATTTGAAATATTTAATTAGATATTTAAATACTTTTTAAATATATATATTATAACTAGTTTATTAAAGAATTATATTTAAAATATACTAGAAATATTTAAAAAAAACTAAATTCTTTTAAAAATAATATATTATAAAATATATATATTTTCTTATAACTTTCTATATTTTAGTTTTTTTTTTAGCTTTAAATTATTTTTATAAGAAATCTTTTATTTTATTTTTTAAGTTCTAAATATTATATTTATAATAATAAATATAAATATAAAACTAATTATAAATAATATTAAATCTTTAAATTATTTTATTATAAATTACAAATTATATATATTTTAAATTATTAATCTAATATATTATAATTTTAAATAATTATTATTATTTAAAACTTAAATTAAAAAAAAATATTAAAATTAAATTTAAAAATATTTTTAAGTATTTTATTTTCTTTAGTTTTATTAATATTTATATCTTTTTTTTTTAAAAAAAATATTAAAAAATTAAAAAAGTAATTTAGATTTATTATAAAATAAATATAATAATATATATAATTATAAGATATAATTATAAGATATAATTATAAGATATAATTATAAGATATAATTATAAGATATAATTATAAGATATAATTTTTTAATTACTAAAAAAATTATAAATTTATTTATTAATAGCTATAAATAATATTATTATAATAAAGAAATAAAATTTTAAGGCTTTAAATTTAGAAAATATAAATTAAATTATTTTAAAAATAGAAAATTATAATAAGATTTAATTTAGATAATAAATAAATTCTAGTAATATAATTTAAAGAAATAAAAGAAATAAAAGATATAATTAATAATAATAACTAATAATAGTTTTTTAATTATTAAAACTATTATATAAAATTAAGTAATTAATAATATAATTAAAAAATTCTTATAAATATAAGTATTTTTTATAGTTTAGATTTATATTAATTAATTTTTATATATAATTTCAAATTATAATTAATATTACTTTTATAATACTTATTAATATTTTAATAATAATTAGCTTTTTTAAAATATTTGTTTTTATTATTATTAAATTAATATAAATTAATTTCTTTTAAAATATATTTATTATATTTATATTTATATTTATAACTAACTTTTTATTATATAATATTCTAGATAAAAAGCTTAAAGCCAGAAATATATTACTAATTAATATATTAATATAAGAAATAATTTTTAAATAAAATATTTATTAGTTAGTTATTATTTTAATAGTTTATTTTAAAGGCTTAAAAATATTTAATTATTATATAATTTAGAAAATAAAATAGCTATAAATACTAGTATTTAATATATATAAACGTTTTTAATATATATAAGTAAGTTTTTAATTTATACTTATATAAGCAAGATTAGTTTCCTAATAACTAAATATTATTCTAATAGTAATCGAAGAATTAATAATAAATTCAATATCTTAGAGAGCGTTTTTCGCAACTATCTCTTTATTACTATTATCCCTCTCATAGTTACTGTCCAGGTCATAATCGTCTTTATTAGCGGAGAGACCTTTTCAGTAGCATGTCTTATTAGGGTCTAATGGGTCATTTCCGTTATGCTAGGTTTCTTATATATCCCATTTGGCTTCCTTATAGGTTTAATACCCGAGGCAGTATTGGAGCAATAGTTCCAAACCGTGGAATAGCCAAGCAAGGCATTAATGAGCCGTCTCAGGCACAGAGCGAGTGTGACAAGTCTAGTAGTGTAATGAAAGTTGTTATCAGAATCAATTCAAAAAGCTATTAGACCGGCACCTTTCTCCTCATGGTTATTTAGGCCAAGGAAGTCGCGTTACTGGGAAAGGCAGACCCTCCCTTGAGAGCTTCTAGATAGGTAATTACAGCCATAATTTATCGTGGGTAGAGTAGAAGGATTCAACCATCAACCTCTCATAGAACCCAGTCGTCTAAACTGCGATTCAAGGTAACGAGACTCATACGATATTCGGGTTAGGCATGAAAAGAGATATCAGATATGCCAAAATATTTTATTCGAGATTGCTATCTTTCGTTTGCAATTGGAACATGGGACAATACTACAACTTATGACCTGCTCAAGAGGCGCGCTGGACTTCTTCTTTCCTCCGTATTCACTCGACAAAATCCCACGTGATGCGAGTGGTCAAATGCATGATTGAACAGATGATTATCGTACGCCAATCCTGATATAAAGAGAATCTGTTTTTGTTCGGAAAAGTGAGCAGAGCTGCTTTACCGGCAGGTTCGGGTGAGTCGAAGGTCGAAGGCGGCCTGTTGCGGCTCCTCTGATGCGACTGCCCACCAGCTAAAATTGGAAAAAGTCAGACAAGGATTCTTCGGAGCCAATTCTGGATCCGCTTCTCTCCTTGCAAGACTCGCTTTATCACTTCTTCAAATTTCTCTATTATGCACGTGATTTACTCCTTATACGCACAGAATTAAACTAATGCAACAAGTTAACTATTCTTGACATATCAGTACAGTTCTCCTTCTAGTAATCTTTCCTTAAGGCTTCGCTCTGTGAAGAATTCCCAATCATTATAGGCATAATATTTCACAAAGCACTTTGGATTCTATATATGTATGGCGATTATAATGAATTAATAGCTAGTCCTTTGATGGAAGACCCACGTATCTTTATGACAACCTTGTTTGCTACAGAAAAATGGCACGTGTTAATTCAAGTTCTACCTGAAAGTCCAGGAGCTTCTACTAGTGGAGATCATCCACTGCACTATGTTCGGCAGGCCCTGTTACATGAGCTTAATAGATTTCAAATGCAAGTGCAAACCACCCTCTCTCTTTTCAAAATATTGTGCAACAACACGTATCTAGTGATAGATATCTTGAAGTCTGTTTGACTAGTATAAACTCATCGGTGATCAAGACGAAACTAAAACCTTCCCATGAAAGAACTCCATTCAATGTGATCAATCAATAATAACGAAATGAAAACGCCTCTAAAAACACCATCCCCCATCGACTAGTACCCTCTCTGTTACTCCTAGTCACGGGCACTTCACATAATTTCTCTGGGTCTAGGTGGCGGGGTTTGGCGCTCTCCACTCCGTCGTTGGAGACATGCTCATCTCGGCAAAGATGCGGTAATTGTCTGGGTTTTTATAGGTATTTGGTGCAAGTCTGCTAGCCAAGGCGACACATTTGAGAAAGCCATAATTGCCTTTAGCATCATTCGGATTTGTCTTATCGGACCCTGTTCTCGTGTAAACTTGTGGTCGCTCCTTGAAAGATTGCCTCTCTTTACTTACAGTCTTCGTTTCTAGATAGGCCAACCACGTGGACCATTTCATGTAAGATTGTTCCTGCCATGGAACTATAAGCATTCGGATTGCCAGTGTTGTCCGTAGTTGTGAAGGGGTTGGTCAAGGTGGCTGGCTGTGAAGGCTTTTTGTCGGGACATAGCATGATGGAGACAAAATCAGTTGAAACGCCGTTGACGATCCGTGTGGCCATGGATGTCATTGCATTGTAAGAAGCATCATCCCCCGTCTCCGTGCATGGCTTAGGGGCGTTGACTATACTATTCGTTAATTTTTTCAATCCTTAGTGCACTGTGGGAAGGATAACTTACAGCCTGTAGCGTAATTGGGGACAAAATATTCAGTAACCTGATTCGGAGCCGTACCGGTTTGGATTTCATAGTACCAGACGTCACTCATGACTAGAAATGATTAAGCCAATAGCCTTGGAGGAAATACGTGCGCGTCTACTCACAGCTGCTGCCAGGAGGTATTCCTTGCTGAAAACCCGTGTTCCCACAGAACAGAATCGCATTGTTGAGATCGAAGTTGTTGGCCCCGGTCAGAGTTTTTTTCAGTCCTTTCAAGGCGTCGCCGTACGCAGCTTGATAGTTCGCGGAGTTAGCTGACGTACACACTCGAATCTTGGGCAGTGAACAGGGTCTACAAACTGGTGACAAATTGCAGGTTGCCCTGAAGGGTCGAATCCGCTCCCGTAGCCCTCGAGTACTTGGGACCCCACATGAGCTGTGCATTTCCTCCTGCTCTTTTGTCATCGGCACTGGCTGTCACCACTTGCATTGCGGTATTGGGGACAGCAGCTATTGAAAGCTGAGCATTCAAAGCCATCGATGCTGCGTTGTCCCATATTTGGTTTAAGGAGGCTCCATTGAACATGAACCCGTTACAATTGTCGGCCCTCCAGGTGACATCAAGAGGAGGATTCAGGCCATAGCATTGCCCAAAGGCAATAAACGAGAGCAGAGCCTTGAATAAGTTGATCTGCATCTTGAGTACGAGGGAGTGGCAAGAGATACTGAAGTGACCAAACCAGCAATAGGAAATACTCAAGTGGTTAACAAAGGTCTTTGGGGGTGGGGGGTTGCAAAAAGGTGCTGGAAATGATGAAGAGACAATTCCCTGATAGTGTCAGGGCGAAGAGATAGTTATAAGGATAGCTGGCTAGTTTAAACTTGCTATCATATGCCACAAGCCGTAACATGTTTTCAGACGGCCAACTGCTTGCTCTAAGCATTCCTCAACTTATCCTCTTTTTAGCGCCTATATTTCCAACTCCTGAAGGAGTGGGAGGAATGGAGGCCTGGACAACGGAGCTAGCTTAGCCCGCTGATCTGACAGAAGTTACTAAAATCCTACGTCGAGGTATTTTTATCAGGTGTTCTATCAAGCCAGTAGCACACTAGCCAAGGGTTAATCAAAGTGAAACGACATTTCGGAGTATTGAGCACTGCGCCGCTCCATCCACCCAAAATTATCGGGTTTGTAAGCGCTGAGCCGCGGCTGTATCCGGTGCAGCTGACGCCCCCACCCGGGCCTCGGGGTTAACGTGCTCGCTTCCACCCGGCAGCTGACTGGCTCTCGGTCTCGCTTCTCATTATCGTTTGCGTATTCATTCTCGCTTCCTCCTCGCGGCTTGCCTTCTCGCTCTCGCTTAGCCTCCTCGTACCTCTCCAAATAACCCGGGCAGGCTTATTATGGAATTCCCCTTTAAAGAAGTCTTGCCTATGATATTATTAGATGCTGAAGGAATTTTCTTTTTACCAGCTTCGACACTTGAAACACTACCATATTTAACAAATTCCGATAGCTCTTGGCCCCCCTCAACACAGTAAAGCGCACTGGCCCATTAAACCTGCTATAATTATTACTTCCCTGATCCTTTTAGGTGAACGGTCGTTCGATCAAGAGGGCCAAAATTGTGCCACTACTCAGCCGGTTATTTACAGGTAGCGAGTAGAACGTCTCCTTCCCCGTTTCCGTCTTCTCCAGTCGTCGTCATCATAAGCTGGGATTCGCGGCACAGTTCCTCACGCGGACGAATTCGAGGAATTGCTTATACTCTGTATACGCTTATAGAGAAAATATCCTGGAACATTTCGATTTAGACGAGATGGATCGTAGGTAGCTGTGCCTGGAAAATTGTGGGAAGGGTTGTCAGAACTGTACCTCCAAGCAAGATGATCCTGGAGAGAACGACTGGAGATTCTTCGCTCCTGCCGAGATTGAGCTATAAACACTCTGCTTTCCAGTGGCAAGTTCAGATTCTTATGAAGTCGAAGACGTCGCTATTATTGCATTCGAATCATTGCATCTTCTTGTCCCAATTAATTGAAAGCCTATTGATCTCCTAATCCGCATCTACGGAACGGAACCTGCTAAGGGTCACGACCTCTCCACGATGTGGTTTGGCTTTCAAGCTCTGCTCCTTTCGAGCACCTTCTTTTCTTCAATTCTAGCGAGAACTTTGTTTGAAAGACAACAATGCGCGGTCCCGTGTGGATCTGCCTGTGGCTTAACTGGTGACATATGTTGCGTGACACCTGCTAATGAGCCGAATCTGTGTGGTTATGGTATGACGAAGACCTCATATTTGTCATTCTTGTCCGATACTAATTTCTACAATGTTTTTAGGCACAACTTGCTGTAAGCATGAACTCCTTCCTCTTTCAATCCTGGATGACTGAAAAGGGCATTTGAACACACTTTCTACCCCCCTCCACCTCCTTACTAGAAGAGAATATCTAAATTATGGGCCGCTTACTTTCTCTTCCAGGTTTCTATGGATGCTGCAATTTCGGAAGCACATGTCAACCTGATGGCACCTGCCTTGCATCAGGGGGTAGCCAGACAGGGAACCCAGGGGGCCCAGCTACCGGTTTCACAACCATAACAACCGTTTCCGGAGCCCAGACTCTCACTTCGACGTCTACTATCGGCGGTTCCCCTCCAGCCTCAACAACGGTCCTACCCGATGGCCAGACAGCAACCTCCCAAAGTGGTGTGCTGGTTTGGGGAACAAACACAGTCACTGTCCCCACCGGACTAAATAACCCAACAACTGTGACCACAGACGGGGAGACATTCACTTTTGGACCTACTCAACCGCTGCCAACGTCAGGAGTATTGACTGAAACCTTGCCAGACGGAGTGACAGTGACCTCTTCCTCAGGTACTTTGTTTTGGAGTAAATTTGCTATTCCTGTGCCTACCGGTTTGAGCACGACCGCAATTATTACTACGGACGGTGAAACTTTTACATTCCTACCTACATTGCCACCGAACCCTACACAAACTGAAGTACTAACTGAGACCTTACCTGGTGGAGTACTGGTTACCTCTTCCGCCGGTAATTTGATTTGGAGTGGATTTACTGTACCTGTGCCTACAGGTTTGTCCACGACCGCGATTATTACTACGGACGGTGAAACTTTTACATTCCTACCTACATTGCCACCGAACCCCACACAAACTGGAGTACTAACTGAGACCTTACCTGGTGGAGTACTGGTTACCTCTTCCGCCGGTAATTTGATTTGGAGTGGATTTACTGTACCTGTGCCTACAGGTTTGTCCACGACCGCGATTATTACTACGGACGGTGAAACTTTTACATTCCTACCTACATTGCCACCGAACCCCACACAAACTGGAGTACTAACTGAGACCTTACCTGGTGGAGTACTGGTTACCTCTTCCGCCGGTAATTTGATTTGGAGTGGATTTACTGTACCTGTGCCTACAGGTTTGTCCACGACCGAAACCGTCACTACGGACGGTCAAATCTTTACATTCCTTCCAACAGTTACTGGAGGCGGAGGCACAACAACGGGCACAACAACGACTGGAGTCCTGGCTACTTTCACTACTTGGCCAGCTATTGTGAGCATCATACCTGTAACAACTTCTGTGCCCGGTCCCCAGAGTCAAGACAACAAACCGGTTATTCCTTGCAAAGTTTGGTTCTTCTTCGTACGTCCCCATTTGAGTAGGGAAAGAGAAAGGAATGGAAATAGTGGAATCAAAACGACTAACAGTGTACTGGCAGATTTGTATCTCATGGAATCTGCCGGATCTCAATATTTTTGGGTGGCAGTTGGGCCTACCACCGGGAATCTATCCACCGTATGAGAACCTCTTTCCGTCTACTCCCCGAAAATGCAGTAATCAGACTGACCACAAACCAACCTAATAGTGGACCTCCGCCTGGGCTTCAATTCCCACCGGGTTTTAACCTTCCAGGACCCCTTCCACCATGGCCCCCGATCACGTAAGTTCAGCTTTTTCAGACAAAGATTTCGGGAAAAGAAATGGCTTACTAACCGATGAGATGATGTTTGTGTAGAGTCGGCAATAATGGAGTGCCCACCTACTCTGAAGAGCCCAGCTCGTGCAAGACTGAGACGGCGACCATGTTTCTTACAACATCGTCATATGGTGTATCAGCCTCAACAACCACAACCACCCAAGTGCTTTCGACGAGCAGCACCATGTTAGGCTGTGACATCCAGAATGAAGCGACTACTACGACAACGACATCGGCCTGTCCAAGCACAGCCACAACATGCAGCAGCGCAATTGTTGTCACATTGACTAATGATCCCGTCAATTGGCCCACAGCTTTCCCTTCAGACGCCGCGCTTGCTTCATCGGTGTATAATTATGTGCAGAGTCTCTGGTCGGGTCAGTCTTCAAGCCTCTTTTGTTTGCTTTCTAGGTCGATTTGCGAGTTATAACAGACATGCATCTCGTAAAGCTCTCAGCGATAGCACCAACGGGTGCTATGCCATCAAGGCACACTCATCTGATAAAAAAAACCCCCCCCAATTACTAACTCTTGATCTGAAACAGACCTTGATGCTACTACAACTACTCTCCCAACGAATCTCCCAACGCTTACGCCAACGACCACTGGCCCTCCGACCACGCTACCAATCCAAACCTCGACAGGTAGTTCGTGTGTGTCGACCGTCACAACTTCCATCTGCACCGTCCCCCAGCAGCCTTGCGTAAGCAGCCTCTCATGTGCCAGTTGGACGGCCACTTCGACCGTACAAGCTCCCACCACCACGCAAGCAGCACCAACGCCAACTTCAACTTGGATCTTGACCATGTACGATGCTGCTTGCTCAAATCAGAATGCGGCCAACTTTGATTACGTGAGCTTTATCCACTCCACTTAAGTCTACTTTCCCAATCAACCTTCACTAACACTCTTCCCCATTTCAGTATAGTCTAGATGGCACCGGAGTACAAGGGCCAAACGAATTTTGTATTCCGCTTCAGCACGGCACTGATCCCTCGTTCGAATGCGGATGGTACACCGGTGGCGGCGCCAACCCGACCCAACCCTGTTCTGCCGGGACTTTCAGCAAGCCGACATCGTTCGTCATCCGAAATGGCTTCTGCACCATCTATACCAACGACGACTGCACGGGGTATTCCAACGGAATCGCATCGAGCGAGTTCACTGGCTGCACCGACTTCTCCAGCACGATTTCCCTGCCGGATACTTGGCTGTCTATGCAGTGTTTTGCTTACCCTGGCAAATAACCTAAAGGGGGCACGAGGTTGTGAATGGGATGGTGGCGTACAACGAGGGTTCATTCTTTCTTTAGTCATCTGGAGATTCAGCAATCGTACGGGGTTTGCAATATACGGAGTTTGAAATTAACAACTATACATGTCAAAAAGTGCAACTGCATGGCGAACAAGTGATGGCGTGTCCTGTTATAATAGCTGCGTGCCACTAACAACCCACTTCCTTTCCAATGTAACTAGCCAGAGGGCTAATTCTGGGAGTTCTAAGCCTTATTTCTAATACTTAAAGCAAATTTTTTTTGGGGCAAAGTGAATCGCATATTTCTACAGGGCTTTCTCCAGTGAATGAGACCCTGGAGCATAGCCTGGAGTATTACATAGAGTATAATTTAATATAATTATTATTTATATTTATCCTTGCATTATATAAGAGTGCTATAAAAGCTTCTAGTATAGTATTCGCTTATCCTTAAGCCAGGAAT